GGGGCATTTGCACCGATCCCTCTTCAGGGACTTTTCGGCCAGTTCTCTGGATGGCCTGCCATTCCATGGCTGCTTCCTGACCCTCTGGCACGTATATCCCCAGTGCCGTCTGCTGCGCATCAAAGAGGCCACGCAGCTTCCCGGGTATGCGTTGGAGGGCGTCCCTTGGGACTTGGGCCCTGTATGGGGCATGTCCTCCACGGGGATGATAATACCCCTTAAAGTATACCCCTCCATGAGGGTCATGGAAGGCGCCCAGCGTATCCCAAAAGCCCCTCGTGTCCTGGATGACAGGAACACGCATCACTGGGGTGGGCTTTGCAGCCTCGGGCGGCACCTTGGCACGTCCTCTTTGATCAGCCGCCATTTGCTGGGCGCGGCGTTCCTGGTATCCAGGCCCCGGTTTCGCCGGTTTATAGGCAATTTCCTGCCGTCCATGAGAAATCTGCTTTGCTTCTTGCAGCTCCAGATATGCTGCATAGTCTTCATCCCCCATCAAGGAACGAAGCTGTGCAGCTTTCTCTGCATCCGCCTTTGCTTTCTGCAAAGCAGCTTCCTGCCTCTGCAGGATCTCATATGTCTCCCGTCTTTCCCGGGGAATTGGACTGGCAGGTTCACCTGCTGAACCGAAATACACAATCTCATCGTTACCAGCAGAATCACCAACTTCTGCACGGTTACGCGTCTGTGTATTCTTCACAACAGGTCGCAGCAAAGACAGTTCAACAGGATGATTACCTGAAACTGGCCTTTGCGGGCCTTTGGATTCCTCCTTTGCCTTTCTAGGCTGTATTCTCGCCTCTGCAGGCGGGTCTTTGGCCTTATCAGGCTGTTCTTTCGCCTTTGCTTCTCCAAGCGGGATCTCCCTCTCCGGCATCCTTTGCACCTTAGGACCGCTGGTTTCCACAACCGATGGCGATGCCGGCTCCGGTTGGAGAGGGACAAAGCGGGCAGGGTGGTTTACACCACTGTCACTGCCGCTACTGTCCTGCTGGTCTGCCCAGCGGGTGGAGGTCCCCTCCTTGGCAATACGGGCAAAGGCCTTAGCCTGTTCGGCCGGATCCAGCTCATCGACCTTGGGCTGTACCTCCAGGCACTGTGCCTTTTGGCTGCCTCCTGCGGAGAAAAACCGCTTGATCTCAGCCTTGCGCTGGCGTTTGTGAGCTCGCTTACGCTCATACTTTTCAGGATTCAATTGACGATCCCGCTCACGTCGCAGCGCTTTCAATTCTCTCCGCTGTTTGGCCTTTCTGGCCTTTTGCTCGTCTAATTTCTTTGCCCGAGCAAAACGATCTCGGTTACGAATCCGTCGTCTCTCCTTCTCCATCCTATGCACTTGTGCGCGGGTTGACATATCACCCGGCAAAGGAGAAGCACATGATGAGAACGACAATTCCGAGATCTCCTCCCACCGCTCGTGGGGATCATTAGGGTCTGGTCTCTCTGGACTCCCCTCGCTCAAGTCCCATGGTTCCGGGATATGCATGAGCGCAAAGGCCATCTTTTCTGGCCAATTTGGGTCCTCTTTGGCAATTTGATCTGCCATTCCAGGACCATACCACCTTTGTATTCTAACCAGTCTGGCGGTGGTTAACCTTTCTCCAAACTGGTCGGCGGCCATCCGCCATCCCTCGTCAAGCTCATTGACGAGATCACTGTGGAACTTTGTCCACATTGCCCGGCACGGTGGTTGCCGGCTATATGGATCTCGAGTGTCTGGAACGAACTCCAGCACCCTTGAGCTTTCACCCGGCCCCCATTCTGGTAGCGCAGGCCTCCGAGGGCTCCAATTATGGCCTCCCGGCCTTGGCGGACTTTTTCCGCAAACAGCTTGAGAGCTTTCTGTGAGCGACTCATCTCCAGTCCCGTCCGATCCACTAGGTGTTCTCACATACACCTGGGATTTGAGCCGTAGCTCCGGGATCTTGACCTTCCGACCTTGCATTCTCTCAACTCGCCCTAAGGCTTTGGCCTCCCGGCCTTGATATGGAGATTTCTCACTTTCCATCGGCCGCTCACCTGGCGATGGACTCTTCCGCTTGGGGCGCTGCTTGCCAGCAACCTTCCAGTCTTCCTCTGGGATGGTTGGCATGGGCAGCTCCGACGGACTAGGGGCCCTCACAGCTGGCACCACCTGTTGGGCGCTTCTCTCTTCTGCCTCCTGGGCCCGCTGCTTTTGCTTCAGGAGGCGGTCACTCAACGCCTTGACTTGGTCTTCGGCGGAGGGTTTGGCTTCTTGGGCCTCGCGGCTCTGCTGCTTCGCCTTCTTCATGGCCAGCTCTTTTTCTCGAGCTTCTTTCTTGGCCTTGTTGACGGCGATCTCCAGCGAGGCGATCCTCTCGGCGGTCTCTTCATCCCGCTTCGCTCTCGCCTTCTCGGCCGCGGTATCCGCCATCTTCTGCAGGAGCTCTTTGATACCAGGGATCTTCAACAACGTCGCCGCCGCCTCTGCGTCCTGGTCTTGCTCCTGCGTCTTCTCCGCCGCCGGCGGGGTATCCACCTCTTCCATCGGCTCATCTTCTGCTGCGGGTGCCGATGTGGCTGTGGAGGGTCCAGCCATGTCCTCCCGGACTGTTACACCTCCTGGCCCATCCCGGGCTTGTTCAGTTCCTTGCCCATCCCGGGCTGTATCGATCGCCTGCCCATCCCGGGCTTGTTCTTCCCCCTGCCCATCCCGGGCTTGTTCCTCCGATTCCTCGGCCTCCATGGAGGAGGCCGGGGAAGGGCTTCGGCGTCTTGTACTCTCGCGCGCTCCCAGGTGGAAGCGTGGCCGCCACCCTCAGGCGGCTCCGAAACCAATTGTTACGAATAGGATGTGGGTGTGGGGTTCCTGCCCTCTTTGAGCCGCGGACCCGCCTCGCCGGACACCTAGGTCCTTACAGGGCACCTAGGCGGGACCACCCCTCCTACTCCCGTATCCTAATATGGATAAAGGTTACAGTGGGTGAGGAATAGTACGTGCCTTGGGCAGGGCGTCCCCCACACCAAGGGCCATTAGTAGGACGTCTCCCACATCAGGCTGGTGCGCGTAACACCCACACTTATGATTTATAGTATGCCGTGATGATGTGTTCTGTGTGTGTGCTGCCTCCAGCCAAGTACCGGCAGCAATCGCTGCTGGGAAGGGCCTGCACTTATGATTTATAGTACGCCGTGATAATGTGTTCTGTGTGTGTGCTGCCTCCAGCCAAGTACTGGCAGCGATCGCTGCCGGGAAGGACCCGCACTTACGATTTATAGTACGCCGTGATGTTGTGTCCTGTGTGTGTGCTGCCTACGGCCGAGTACCGGCAGCGATCATTGCCGGGAAGGGCCTGAGCTAAGTATTAATAATTTGCCAATCGAGTCAATTGAAGAATGGAAAATAGCTGAATGGCATGTCGGGCGGCACTTTGTCAAGGCACATCCAGTTTTCCTGGACGTCATAACCACGCCTCTATTCGCGACAAGCTTCCAAAATCTCAAAGTCCATGACGGATGGCAACGGAATGCCAGGAAAGGCAACGGAAAAAACAACATCTTTACAGAAATTGGTGGCTGCAAACACCCCCTTGACGGACAGCTCCAGAGCCAAAAAACTGGAAGCTGACGTGGCATGAACGGCTACAGAAAACCGGCCCCGGCAAAACAACAGAAAAGTGACAGACGGATTTTTTGTCTTGAAACAAAATACAGAAGTAAAATAACAGAAAAAAATCTGAGCGGCCACGTCTACCACCAAGCGTTCCCGTTTGGCTCGCATTCCCACGCTGTTCCCCACACTGACCGCGCATACAAAGCAGGCGATTGACACAGAGGCGGGCCTCAGGGGTTTAAGATTTGACGGCTGTGCGTCGCTGTTTTGGAGCATCTTTATCGGTTTGCGCTGTTGCGCCGGCGGTGCTGTGCGAGAACGCTTCTCATTGGCTGCCTGGCCACCTTAGGGAAGACACTAATTTGATTTTTTTTCTGCTTGGCGTCAAGTTGGGTTTAAGCTCAGATCACCCACCCCACCACACCTCGCCCCGCCCCTCCTTAGCGCCAGTCCTTATTTGTTGCCAGGATGACTCATCAACGTTACCTAAAAATGCCAGGCAACTTCGGGATAGTTTTAAGGCAAAACACTTCAAGACTTGTGGCGTTTGTGGTGATTTGAAACATGGGATGCCAAAGTCATGACAGGCGATGGGACCAGCCCAAAAGCCTGGAAATTGTTCCATTCTAAGGAGTTCCTCAATGATTGAAAGTTTGAAGGAAAGTTTTGCAGCAATTCATGAGCTACTTGCCGCTGAGCAGCAGTTTTTTTGTGCATCTTCCCACCTTAATATGATTTCAGTGCAATTGCGTAATCTCTTTGTGTCAATGGCTGGATCCACCCACACACCCACCCACCTTAACGTCGACTTGACAATAAGGGTACAAAAACCAAAATAGCGTCTTCCTTACTAAGCACTTGTGACATTGGGTGCTATTGCTATGCCGAATAGCATCGGGACCCCACTGCAATGTGCTGCGCGAATAGCGCTGGGTGCTATTCTAGGGTGCTATTTGGCCACGAGCTGGGCTATTCGGGCCTCAAGGGTAGCACTGCTCGGGAACGAATAGCACCCGTGTGCCATTGCTCCTCCAACCGTTAATGATAGTTTTTCGATATTCAGATGACCGAATAGCATAGCATCCACCGATAAAGTTGCTCTAAAGACTCTCTTTCTCAGGGAAATCCCTAATGATATTTGCTCGCAAACATACCAGCATCTCTGCTACGTGCTCCGTACCTGGCAACGGCATCCACCTTCTCCGCACCTTCTCCGGATTTCTGCTTGGATGGAGAGGATGAGTAGAGAGTAAATGTCCTCTCCTAGCCGGCGCCCACCCTGGCTCCACCCGGCCCACCCCCGGTCACCAAAACCTCCCCCTCCCCGCCCTGCGGTTGGCGCCCCCCACGCCCCTTCCCCATCCGCCCGCCCTCCCCTCCACCGCCACCAGGGGCCCCGAGGCCCGCCCAGCGATGAACGAGCCCAAGAAGCCTCGGCTGGAAGCGGAGCAAGGTGGGGATGACGCGGACCAGGGCGTCCTCAAGGCCATGGAGGGCCTGGAATCGCTGCAGGATGAATTGGACAAGGTGGGTTGCAGCCCGCCGATTGGCTTGATCGCCATTTGGGCCGAAGCCGCGGCGACTGGGGGGGGGTTCTACCCCTTTGCGCGTTTGGCGAGCGAAGCGGGGGAAGGGTAAGACTAGTGAAAAGGAGATGGGGGAACAGATCATGCGAAAGGCACCACATCCTGAGCAAGTGTGCGTGAGGCTCCTGAACAACGCTGTGAGGAGATGATGAAGAGCCTCCGGTGCGAGAAGACAAGCGCACAACATTGACACCGCCAGTAGCAAGAATGGGGGAGGGGAGTCGATGGATGGGCTCCTGACACCCGGGTGGGGTGTTGCCTGCCTGTGGGACTGCAGGTGAACGACGAGGCCAGCGAGAAGGTGCTCCAGCTGGAGCAGCAGTACAACAAACAGCGCAAGCCGATCTACGCGCGGCGCGGCCAGATGATCGCCAAGATACCCGAGTTCTGGAAGACGGCGTTCCTGAACCACCCGGTGCTGTCGGACCTCATCACAGAGGACGACGAGGAGGCGCTCTTCTTCCTGGCGGAGGTGGGCCCACAATCGCGGGCGATCCCGGCGTCCGTGCCGTTGCTGCGGATTTCGTTGTTTGCCTGAGTGGGCGAAAAGAGAGGAAAACGGCGCCATGGACGCGCCTGTCGGCTGGGGATGGCGCCTTGTGCATCCAGCCCTGGGTGGCCCCGCCAGCCGACGTCGCCGTCGAGAGTGCAGCGAGGCGAGCCGTCCTGGCGCCGGTCCCTGGCGCACTTCCTCATCCCCAGATGTCCCTGCTGTTGATGCTCATCGATCAATGCTCATCAACGGAACTGGCACTCATCAAATGCTGCACTCTTGTGGAGGTTCCCACCCAGCCACCCACCCCTGCGGCGCATTGCAGAGGCCACGCTTCGCCAGGCCGATCCATGTCCCCCCTCGCCAGTGACAGGGACCTGCAGTGAGGGCCTTGGCACTGACCGAGTCACTGACATCCATCACTTTGTTGAGATTGTGACGCCCCTTGGTGGTGGTGGCTGGACAGGTGATGGTGGACGACTCCGAGGACATAAAGAGCGGCTTCAAGATCACGTTCCGGTTCAACGCCAACCCCTACTTTGAGGATGGGGAGCTCCAGAAGTCTCTGACCTTTGCAGAGGATGGGACGCTGCAGGTGGACGGGACGCCGCCCAACTGGAAGGACGGCATGGTGGGTCGCTTGTGTGTCTTCTTCCTTTTGCAAAAGCGTGTGCGAGACCCGCAACCTGAGTTGGAGTGCCCCAAAGGGCGCTGGTCAACCCTGCGAGTGCCTTTTTTTTCTGTGACGGTCCTATTGCGTTGATTGCGTACTTGTCACAATATTACAAGGCAGACCCTTTTTGGCGATGTTGACTGGTGATACTGGCCACAGATTGGGTGGGAACGGCTTTGGGTTCGAGGCCACGCCGGTTGTGCAGGGCCCTTGGGTGTGATTGTGGGGTGATGGACTGACCAGTTGTGGATGGCTGAAAAATCATTTCCAAGGAGCAGCACGGCTGGTGGGCGTGAGTCATTGTGAATTCTGGGCCTGTCCCGGACTCGAGTGGCGCCTTGGGCTGAAACACAGATAAAAACGGACTCCAAAGACCGAAGGAAGCATGCTACTTTACCTATGATTGCCAAACACCTGCGCCTGCCTGCCCATGCTCCCGCCCGAGGAAACTCTAAAGCACCCTTTCAGGCTGATCCTGATCCTTCCCCCCAGGTTGTGGCAGGGTTCCGGTTCCGCCACAGTGGTGCAGGCAGTGCCAGACGCAGGGAATATTGACATGTGCCTGTTTGGATCTTGTTCCAGGGGCCCTCTCAAAATTACACGGTCCAGGATGGCAAGAGGGGCAGAGAGCATGTGTACAGCTTCTTTCAATGGTTTGTGGAGTCTGGCACACTGGACAGCGGGCACCAGGACGAGATTGCGGCCATCATCAAGGACGAAATCTGGCCCAACCCATACAAATTCTACCAGAACGATCTGGAGGTGCGGGCGCCACAGGCAGCCACTGGGGCAGACTTATGTCCACAGCTTCCTTCTCATGCTGTGGATCTTAAAGCCATTTTGGAGCACGAATTGAATGCAAGGAGCCCACATCGGGAACAGAAGGGTACCTCTAGGCACACAGCGCCGAGGTGCCGCAGATCTGCTCATACAGCAATTGTCACTCACTAGAATTCCTTATGGTACTATTCCTGACGAAATTTTCTTGGAGCGATCCATGAGTTCTGTATATTATTCCTCTTGTGGCCCTGTGACCACAAGTTTTGTCTGGATAGACGTGGATGTGCAGTACATGGTTTTTGTACTGCACTCAAACACATCTGTGTCACGTTTCTGCCTACTGCTTTCTTTGGGAAAGGGTTCAACAGTGTCTGTGATCAGGAGGGCAGTGTCAATGTGTGAAATGGTTTTGTTTTTGCTAGAATACAACCCCATCAAGGCCACAGTGGCAAAATGAACGGTTTGTAAGGACATGCCTGGCAGGGCAGCACTTGGGAATGTTGTATGCAACTATAGCAGAAAGAACCGACAAAGTCCAGAGTTCTTTTCACTAGCCTATTGCCACTAGTGGATAATGCCGTGCATGACATCTTGTTGATGGTAGAGGGCCCACCCGCACCCTTCTTGTCTGTGATGTGATATTTAGCTCAGGGTGTCGAAGAGAGAGTTTTTGATGATGCGTGTCTTGTCAATCAATCCAGTGCTGTGACTGAATGTTCTGTCTGTACGTTTTCAGGACTTTGATGGTTTCAATGTGGGCCCAGACCCTGAGGTGTTTGACGAAGATGAGGAAGGTGAGAGCAGGATATTGTATAGTTTGGTTCCCATAACATTTTTCAGAATTGGCAGATCGGAGGCAACGGGAACGAACACACTAAGTGCTAAATCTGGGATCCGCTTTGCTCAAAAGGATGCTCCATGATGAGTCCCATCGATTGCAGTTTGCCTACCTCACAGGGCAAGATCATAACCCTGCACCTTGCAGGCAACGATGGGCACAGATTGCAGGCATCTCTTTTTCTTTTTTCTCATGTTCCCATGAGCAGAGTACAGCTGACCATCCCAACAGAATGCTCAAACATTGGGCCTCTTAGCTGCCAGAGAAGATGCAATACAAAAGGAAGGCACAAATTTAGGAAAATGACTGCTGCATCAATTGAATGCTGAGGTGATAAAGGGCATAGGGCTGTCCTGATTTGCTGGTGCACATGCCGCCCTATCAAACATTTAGAGCTCTAAGTGCAGATACATAATCTGATGGTTGGAGATGTGCTGCTAATGCCCCAGAGGTGGTTGGTGCATAGATCATGCCACAATGAAATCATTACTGGTCGGACGGCAGTTGCACATGTCTGTCACTGGTGCCGCAGCGGCCGCCTGCCTTGCCTGGCTGATGTGAATGCCAGATAGTGCTGAGCCGCGATGCTGTCATCTCGTTCTGTGAAGAAACATGCAATGCAATGCATCAGAATAGAAATATTGATATTTACTATACACCAAATCGTATTCATGTTCCTTACATGCAGCAATGCATCATCGCATCACTTGCTTGCTGTCGCATCTAGCAGAGCAATTGCGACACGACGGTCGCATAAAATGCATGTAAAATGCATGTACATAAGAAAGTTGGGTATATTGTCGAATAGTTGAATGCAACAGGGGCACACCTTGCTTGGTTAGCGCCGTGCCTGTTTTTCCTCGAGGTGCGAGAGCCTGGTTCTGCCGTGCAGACTAGAAAATACAAGAGACGGGCATCTCATGATGGTCACGCAGCGCGTGTGGCTCAGGGCGCTCTCTTGCTGGGTGGCACAAGGCCTGCATATCTTGCGATGGGGTGGGCTTGACACCTGGACACTGAGATGTGATGTGACGTGCTGGAATCAACAGCAAGCAGGAGGCGGAATTGGCGTGATGTTCACGCAGCACGTGTGGTGCACGGCAGGTGATGAGGATGACTTCGACGAAGGGTACGATGAGGCGGAGTGTCCGGACGGGCGCGGGCCGAATTCCGTCCCGCCCCCTGCTGGCGGGGTCCCCAGAGAGTACGAGCAGGACGACGAAGACGGGGAGGACGAGGAGGAGGAAGACGAGCGGGAGGGCTGAGGGCGGGGAGGCATGGGGTCGCGCGGAGCAGGTTGATTTGCCGGCGGCGTCAATAACAGCGGCGTTGTTATTTAAGATTTGTTGACGTATTGTTAGGCGTTAGTCAATAATCTGTGGGTTGGGCTTGCAGGGATGCGAGGAAGAGCTGCCATTATGGATGCAAGGCGTTCGGAGGCGAGGCTGAGGGCTGGAGGCTGTAGAATGGTGGGATACCGCGAGGCGGATCGGGAGTGCCAGGTGCCATGGGGCGCTGGCTCCGATCCCAGCGGTTTTGCGACGTCGCGAAAGGCAGGCCGGGAGGGACACGTGTAATGCTGTTTTGAAAGATTGTGCGCAAAGCGAATGTTGGATTGAGAAAATCGCACGCACAGCGGCAATGCTGCAGCACATTGAAGTGTATGTATGCGTTGCTTTCCATGCTTGTGTCGGAATGGACGCAACGTTGCTTTGCCCCCTTCATGGCAAGGACAGCCACTTCTGGGGACTTCAGAGGCGTGTCCTGAAATCGAGAAACGTGTCAAGCTGGGCGGGGGGGAGATACTGTTAGGTGGAAGGGTGCTTAAGGGGTTGGACTACCGTCTTCCTTGCCCCGGGCCTAGCAGTATTGGTAGAGCAGTGAGAGATGCACCCAGAGGTACCCGGTTGGCTCCCCGCTCAGACTTATGCTTGAACATTCACATTAAAACAGGGAGCTGCTCCGGAGTCTGTGGTGGCCATTTTTGAGGGCGTGGCCGTGAGCAGGCGACCACAGCGCGAGTTGCTGCAGTGCTGCAGATGGACACAGGTGCTTACAAATGTGCGATGCCCTCGTTCTCCAACCGTTTCGCCCCAATCATGCGGATTCAAAGTACTGCCATTTGCGCAGTACTTGATATTTTGACTTGAAATTTTGGCCAGAGCATCGTATGTGGGTTTATAAGATGCTCCCAAACTTTTGTCAATAACAGATAAGTGTGTGATATAAATTTGGCCTCTCAAACAAACGCGTTCATTTAATTAAGGACAGAGGAAGTAATTGGTAATTAATAATACGATGGCATTGTACCGAGTGCGGGCAGGCAAGAAAGTGTCAGAGTTCCGCGTTTTCCGACTCCAATCCACTGCCAACATCCCAAAATTGTGATTGATCAGACTGCGCTTGTGGTCATGCACGAAATTTCACCTACTCGAATCCTTGAAGGCCAACATGAGCAACAGGGGAGTGCTCAGAGTAGTGTGAAGCTGCATGAAGAGCACGAAACTCGACACAAGGTTACGAACATTGCCAACATTGGTTCCATCCTCTAGGGCATCATTTGCATCTCCCAAGTGCAGGTCCACAGGTTGGTTGACATATACCACAAGCAGCAACCAATCCTCCAGATCGACAGTGACGTTGTGGCAACCCATGCCCCATTTGCAGTGCACAACTCCTTCCTCCCCAACCGCAGGGCATTCTACAATGGGAGTTGGTCAAACAGATGTGCACACACGGCTTCCATCAGATTTCGCACTGCCGAGACTGTAACAGAGTAGCCCAGTGCTAGCATGACCTGCGACTGGTGCAGGTCGTGCTGGCAATGGGCTACTCCATCACACTCTCGGCAGCGCAAATTCTCTTGGAGTGCATCCCAGGCCTCATCAAATGGCTCCCAAGACTCGTATTGTAGCAACGGTCTTCGCGCCAAGGTTGCCCATCCTTGTGCCGTCTGGCCACACCTGCATGCCAGACTGACATGCGTTTGACATGCATATGGGAATGCGCTTGTCAGCCAGCAACTTGGCCACTCCTGAGGCTTCCACAGTGTCGACTTCTTTTCCACCTTCCAACAGAAGGAAGGCCCTCAATCCTTTGTACGTTTGGTGCAACAGGTCTTCTCTGCCAAAGCGATTTTCCAATTGGTAGTCAGCACAGCGCGCATCATGGTAGGCCATCAGCTGCCTATGGCAGTCAAAGTGAATGATGTGATAGAACCCAGGACCTCTGGCATCCAGTCGCTCAGACACAGCTTTGTACATGCCTTGCCACAGCAGCTCGACATTGGCCCGCAGCTTGGCTGCCTGAATCGCCTCAACCAGGGGTCGCAATATGGTGCGGCATCCTACAACCTGGATTCCATCTTGCCATGCAACGACCACAATAACATTGAGGATGGGGAAAGGCTTTGTTGGGACAGGCAGGCAGATTCTCCACTAAGAACTTCGCACGGTGGCACAATCCATGGCCAATGGTCAAGGTCGACCAGGATCCCACAGAGCCTCCCAGTGCAAAGCTTGAAACCCTGCTGACTTGGCGATGACCTCTGTTGTGAGCGCACTCGCGTGCCCCAACAAGTGGATTTCTTTGTTGCGTGCTTCGTCGCAATCCAAAACTTGGCTGAACAGTGCCGTACCATACTCTTGATGCTTTGAGCAGCCCTCTCCGCAGCAGCAGTATCAACAAAAGGGAACGTGAGCCGTCGCTCCAAAAACCATTGCGGAATCTCCTCCTGCTTCTCTGAGAAAGGTGCTGCAGTTGACACCTGAAAAGGGTCGCTGCCAATGACTGTCAGCTCTGCAGCAAAGTTGGTATCACCCACAGCATCGAGGTCTTCAGAGATTGTAATCTTGGGAATTGCAAAGTGCACACTGGAGCAGCAGCAACCACTGGAATTCACTCTTTTTAAGCTCTCCACCTGCTTGAACAAACAGGTTGTCAATGTCATTGAGAAACAACATTACTCCTGACACAGGGAAGGGACAGTGGTGGAACACAAGTGCAGCAATGACATTCCTGTGATGAACTTCTGCCTTTGGTGATGCACATGGATTGCAGAAAGGGGAGTTGAAGGTTTAAAACTCCACAGTAATACAATTTCCTTGCCACATTCCCAAGGACAACAAGCAGCTCAACATGTCCAAATGCCCATCTGCACAGCTGGTTTGTTCAGATAACCAAAATTCGCAGATTCTGAGCAGCTGTTTAAAGAACAAGCAACCTGCAATATTGCAGCCCATCGGTTCTGCACATGAGCAGTGTAGAAAGCAACAGGGGACTGGCCACATTGTGCCCTTGGTGGTGGCAACCAATGGGGTATGCTGGATACCGAAATATCACAGGACATTTCATTGTGGTTAAAGCTGGCTTGAGCACACAGCACCTGCGCTCCATCACCAAAAATTTGCAGCTTACTTTGATGTCAGTGTTGTTTATGAGCCACAGGGATTCTAGACTACATGGCATTTGCCTCTGACCCATGCTGGTGAAGATTACAAAACAGAAGTGACAAAACTTCAAAAGACAAGCACAAGACATGTGCACAATGGCAATTGGCTGACAGAAAACATTGAAACATCTGGCGATAGTATGCAGCAAAGGAATGCTGAGGAACACATGCAGCGCACCCGCAGAATCTGTAAGGTGCACAGCTGCTGCACAAAATCTCTCCACAACCAACAAAAACGTGTCCCCCCTTGCAGACAGGTTTTGAAAGCAGACACCTTCATTCGCCTCTGAAGACACGCTAACAGGTGCATTATATTCAGGAGCCTAAAGAGATGCGGCAAGACCATCACTGTGGGCATGTCAATACGATTGCTGTGAACAGCCCGTGCTGGGCACAGATGGGCAAGCCATTGCCAAAAGCAAGGCGCCAAAACTGCCCTCGTGCAGCATGCACAGCTCATTGATGGTCACCAGTGCCTCGCAGACACCAGATGGCAGGCTCAGCGGCGGGGCACCCAGCGGCCCAGGAACCATCTCAACACACATCCCCCCACCTTGGTCAGGGTGCAGAGGCGGATAGTCGGCACAAGACTGAGACGAACACTAGGCAAGCAATGGACACGCTGTTCTTGTGTGGTTTGGTGGCGACGTAGCCCTAGCTGGCTGACACGCAATTACAGGAACTTCATCGTCACCTGGGTCAGGACAGCACACCCGGCTGACGTCACAGAGTGGATGCCTTTCTGCAGGGCGCCGCGAGCCGCTAGCCGCGCATGGGCGCCATCTGGCATGTCCCCAGTGGAGACCTCCCCAACCCGGGGCAACGGAAGGGGAGAAAAAGCTGTCTGAACTGGAGGATAATAGGCTGGCCGCAAAAGGTTGTGCTGCGCACGTGGTGATGGCTGGCTGCTGTGGTGGGAAGCATGCAGTTTCCCGCGCAGGGTGGCAAGCACATCGAGCCTTTCGTGCAGAATCAACTAGAACACAGTGGTGCTGGGGGATGTGGCGGTTGCCAGGTTTCCGTTTGCGAGGCCGCTAGAACACATGACAACAAAGGAAAGGGGTTGGCATGAACTGACGGGCAGCCGGGGCGTCTAAACTGTTTTGGCAATGGCAGGCTCCGCAATCTGCCAAGCAGGACCGGACGCAATCACGGGGGACGACAGAAAGCATCCAGCGAGATGGCACGAAGCAAGTGGGCCTCAAGTCGGGAGGACCCCGCAGCTGCGGAAGCCATCCGCGAATACTCGGCGACCGCTTTGCCGGGGGGAACGCCTGACCGCGGGCCTGGGCGGGCATGGGCATTCGTCACGCATCCACGCACCTGGTGGGGTCAGCAGGGTACTGTCCAAAACGGGGGCGGCGGTGCGCCCGCTCCCAGGGAGCCACCAAGCAAGGTGAACGAACCAGAGGACAGTGCCGGCCGCTCCGCTTGAGGGGCCCGTGCACTCGGACTCGGTTGGGAGCAGCAAGGCCGCCACCTCGGCTCTCCAACGCAAGATCTTGTCGCCCTCCAAACCAAGCGGGGCGCTGGTCGTGGACTGCTGGCAGCACCTCAGATCAGCAGCAGGGGTACAGTGGATTGTCATGAACTACTGTATCAGTAAAATGGCAGTAAAAAAGTAAAATATGCAAACTGTATAATAAAAAAGTAGTGTTGACCCGTCCGCAAACGGATAAGCGACCGTCTGGCGGGGCTGGCGAACGTACAGTGACTGGCTCAACGTGGAGGCTGCTGCGCCCATTCCTCTCAATGAACAGCTTCTGTTACATTACAGAACTTATCACAAGGGGGTCATCGCCTCTCGACCTCACA